GCCTAAGTTAAAGTCAGTACGCCCAGTTGAAGTGGTTTCCAAAGTGACAACATTTACTGATCAGCACGGGAATAGGAAGAAAGTATTGAACTTATCATCAATTCCTCTCAATCCCGAAACATCCGCGTTCCTGGAAAAAGGACTCAATTTTTAAATTCAACATTACAGGAGCCCTCTAGGAGACATCCTGGTGGAGATTATCAATATTACCGACAAGTTCCCTGAAGAGACAAAACTGAAAATGGAGATAAAATTAATTCCAAAGATCTTGACCCATCAGGAGCCTACACACAGGAGCAGATTTGTCAGGATACGCAAAACCCTGGAAACGAATATACAATTAGTCCTTCAGGCGGACAAAGGAGGAGCTACAGTGATAATGGACAAAAAACAATGTACCGAGAAGATGGAACATATTCAACAAGACAGGACCACATATCATATGCTAAACAAGCACCCAACTATGAAGATCAATAGAATCTTAAGTATCATGCTGAAAAATATATGCATATGAATGAGGAGATTGACGCATGGACAAGAAATTCAATCATAACAAAGGATGCACGACCACCAACAACATACGGATTACCGAAGATACACAAGGAAGGCGCGCCACTAAGGCTAATAGTCAGCAACAAGTATGGAGCAACACACACATTGGCAAAGTTTATATGCTTGAAACTCAAGAAATTAAATAAGGCTATCAAACACGGTCAAACATTCATATGAGTTTTCTCAAAAAATCAGAAACATGGCACTGGAAGAAACGGACTTATTGGTAAGTTTCGATGTGGAATCAATGTATACAAATAGCTCTGGAGAGAATGCACTAACGGCCCTGCTGTAAATCCTGGACCGAGATGAGGATACCCTGAAATCACAACGGATCAGGAGGGAGTCGTTAACAAGAGTGATCAACTTGACAATAAGGACCACCTATTTTTACATTCAACTGGAACATATATGAACAAGTTCCCTTTCACCGCTCTCACCACTTTTGGCAAACGAATATATAAACAAAATAAAAGAGAGCTTCAAGACGGTACCACTACCACCAACAGTGCTCATGCGGTACCTGGATGATTACTTCGCACTTTAGTCATATGGAAGAGAAAAACTAGAAGAGTTTCTAAAATTTGTAAACCGGATTGATGGAAAAATTCAATTCACAATGAAAGTAGAGGAAGGTAAATGGTTACCGTTCCTGTATGTTCAAGTGATTCGTTCTAATGGAACGCTCAAAAAGAAATTGTTCAGAAAAAGTCCTATGCTAGGATAATACTCAATTTCTGGTCCCATCACAATTACAGGCTAAAGATTTGAATAATGAGGAGCATGATCCTCCGGAGCCTATGTCTAACAGATGCAGAATTCTGGGACGAGGAGCTGGACAAATTGACGAAAATATACCTCGATAATGGCTACCCAATCGAAGTGATACAAAGAAACATACAGGCCCTGAAAAGCCGATGGCAGAACGGGGACTATGAAAGGACAGTAAGGACGATGAAGGATTCACAAAAGTGGATATGCCTATCTTTCTGCTAACTAACTCAAAAACTACGGCCAATATTGAGTAAATTGAATATTCAGGTGGTCATGAAAGAGAAATCAACACTTATAACAAGTCTACCAACGCAACATGAATGGGTAGACAAATTTGATTGTTCAGGAGTTTAC